CCGTCTTCATCCACATCCTTATTTTCTACTTCTGGAATAACCAGTTAATAAAACGTCTCGATCTTTTTCTTCATTGATTTCCTTCTCAGTTTAAACTCAGTAGCAGAAGGACCTTATTCTATTGGTCTCTGAGGTGTTAAGGACGAACCCTCATCAAAAGTATTCAGTGTTGAGGATAAGGGACTAGTGGCAGACGCCTCAGAATCTGCTAGCCTATAAAGATCCTGATTCTTCAGACTAGTAGAGTTCTACGAGACTTCTGTCACAACTGAGATGTTGACAGTTTCATTTGAGGACTCCATGGTGCTTTCTTGGATGTTGATGAATATGGACTAGACTTCGGTTACTTTTATAGTGGATTATGGGTAACCAAAACATTGAAATAAATCCTTTGCTTGATTCTTGGAACTGTTACGACCAATAAATAATAAACATGTATTGTACAACTTTTTAACGATCTCTGCTACTGGATCATTTTCTCTTCCTTGAAAATTGGTCACGTAATGATGATCTGTTATTGCATTTATGAATATAATTCTATTCCTTTCTTTTTCTTTTCTTTTTGATGTGACAAGAGGGGGAGAAAGATATAATAGTATTTAATAAAGAATCTGAATCCTACAGATTTAATATTGTTCATTTATAATTAATATCTTTTTATATTTCTATTTTTTTTATTTCTGCTATTTTTTGTTTTGGTGATCTTGCCCGGGTGATATATTTTAATTTTCTTGAATATAGATCTAAGGGGGAGTTTACAAACCTCAACCTTAGATTATTAGATTCAGAGGGAGTTTACAAACCTCAGACTCTGATGTTGTTTAGAGAATTAAAATATTTTTTCTTGAATATAATACTCAGGGGGAGTTTACAAAACTTAATCTTGTACTATTAGACTCAAGGGGAGATTACAAACCTCATACCTTGATGTTGCTAAGAAAATTATAAATGTCCAACATGTCCTTTAAATACTTATGTTTGTTATCATGAAAAAGGGGGAGATTGTTAGAACAAGATTTATTCATGACATATATCTCTTGGATCTTAATGATATAAAAAAGTATTAAAAGAACAATAATGTTATATAATGTATGTTCCAAGTATGTAGGTTCTAAAGCTTGAAAAGAAGGAATTCACAATCTGATATAAGAACGCATTTAAGAGGAGCTCAATTACTAGCTTCTGGTGGATCAGAAGAACATTCTCTAAGTGATGTTTGGCGTAGACTCTGAAGCTGAAGGCCTCAGTATCAGAAGAGCAACATATTACCTATACACTAAGTTATTGTATAAGCTTTTAGTGAATATTCAGAGTTAGTAATAAAGCTTAAGTTATCTATACTGCAGAAGGTGAGCTGCATTGTCTAATCAGCTTGTCAGCTAGAGTATACACAAGACTCAAGAAGAGTTGACATGCTTTACGAATATCTACTCTCAACGGATCTATAGTATAAGATTACATGGAAGATTTAATGGTGAAACATGTTACATAATGCATTAAGATCTTTTAATGTATCTCTCTTCAACATCTTTGTACTATGGAAAAACAAAGACATTTGTTTAAGTTATCTCTTCAAACGGCTAGTCTTTTACAACTGCTATATAAGCTACTGAAGATTCGAACTTAAGTTTTCAACAAAGTGCAATCAAAAGGGAAAATATAGAAGGAAAGCCAAGAAGGATATAAATGTTCTACACTTCTGTCTAGATGGAGAAATAACAAGATCATACAATAAGCAACACAATCGAGTATGCTGAATTTCTGTTATACTACCTATGTTCCTTTTTATAAGATACAAATCACTTTTTAGGTTCATTGAATAATCAATGTATCTAGTCTATAAACTGATCAAATACATTGATTATTGAATGAACCTAAAAAATGATTTGTCTCTTATATAAAGGAACGAAGGTAGTATGTTATAAATTGTAACAAGCCATAATATTTCTTAAACGTTGAATATCTTAGAAATCTTAAGTGCTTAAGGTCTTTGTTAAGGTGATTACCCTGTACCTCTGATCTTGTATCAAGTACACCCTGTTCTCTATTCTGCTAAACATGATTGTTTAGTAGTTTAGATAAAGTCTCTTGCTATGTGCTTGAACATTAAAGTCTCTTGCTGAGAAGTTTGAGCCAAGTAAGTCTTCTGCTATCTGCTAGAGCATTGAAATTCTTGATCAATTGTTGATTGAGCATAAGTTTTGGGCCTGAGGGGCTTGAGCAGAAGTCTTAGGTTCGTGGAATATGAGTAAGGAAGTCTTGAGTTCATGGAACTTAAGCAAGGAAGTCTTGAGTCTGATGGGCTTGAGTAGAAGTCATGGATTCATGGAATCTAAGCTGGGAAGTCTTGGACCGAGGGTCTGAGCAGAAGTCTTGAGTCCGAGGGGCTTAAGTAAGGAAGTATTGGATTCGTGGAACCTAAGCATAAGTCTTGGACCTGAGGGGTTTAAGAAGGAAGCCTTGGGCTGAGGGCCTGAGCAAAGAAAAGTCTTATGTTCAAGTGCTTAAGCGTCTGTAATCATGTTTTGGTTATAATGAAAATCTCTTGTGATGCAAGGGGACTGGACGACTCTGATTTGGGAGGAACCAATATAAATCTTTGTGTGTCATTTATCTTTTATTTAATTCTGTTAACATTCCGCTGCAACATATAATCAGAATCTGAACACCAGTTTAGATTCTGAACTCTGATCAGAGGCAAAGTTAAGAAATGGAAAATACAATTTAACCCCCCTTCTTGTGTATTTTCCCCACATTCACTAAATTCCTTGTTGATTTTCATGATATTTTATATTCCAACTCCTAACGAAGACAACATGCCCAAATTTGGTTAAAAATTGATATCGGGGAGAACTCATGTTGAAACTGAAAATATCATATGTTAAGTTGTTAACTTACTCAAAAACTATTGATTGTGAAAGTAACTTACACCCATACGTCTATTGCAAGAAGCAAACATGACTTTGTCGAAGGATCCAAAATAGTTGTCAGGCCACTAGCACATCTTGATCCAAATTTGGCTAAGTCAACACACATATTTTCCTCCCTAAGAGTGTGACTTAGTTGGAAATCTCAATCATTATCCATGTATTGTCTGATAATGACTATCTCATTTTCAAGTGATGAGCGGAGACATTTGCATATTTTGTCAAATGAATATTATGCATGAAATACGTGTAGCAAGTGAGGTTTCTCAAACTTTACTCCAATCAATTTTGAATCCCCTCAAATAAGATCATATCCCCCACATGAATCCCATATCGCGGTCTCTAACTAAACCCCTAAAACATGTCATTTCCAAGTTATATTGAGTGCACAATCCATATTGAGAATATACATATTAGGTTTCTTTTTCTAACACATTATAAATATAGACTGATGCGTCATACTCTCCTTGTGTATACCACTGAAAGTATGAGTAACATCACATATTGTAGATTTGATATTTGATAAAAGGGTCATAAGAGCCGTGTTGTTATCTTGAAAAATAATGCGGAAGAAAGGCAAAAAAAAATTCCTATTACAGATCATAAATGATACAAAAAGAGTAAATTGTTATTTTAGAAACCTTTACATGTGCCTAATCTATTAAGGATCGTATGATCCACTAGACACTATCAACAATTGAGATTGTCTCAAAGATTGTTTGAAATACATATACTTTAACAAAACAGGAAACATCATCATCAATTAATATATGGACACACATTAATTATTCTCATCTGAACATTACTCATTACAAGAATGATATTTAATGTGTCTGTTTCTAACAACAATAACGTCTCATCAAAACCTTTCACGCCCTCGGATCAAACATCTTAGCTAGACCATATATGGAAAATCCTCGTCCTACAAAGTAGAGACAAATATTTTGGGGACAACTGTTATGGGTTGTTCACAAGACCCAAGATGAAAGGCGCAATGGTACGTAAAGAAAATGTAGTAAGCGCGAAGAACAAGTAGACCTCTATTCTCCCTGAAGCAGGTAATTCCACCTTCAAGAGCGCTGATGAACATTTATATCAATCAAACGGTTGCCTGCAATCTACACATCACTCCATGTTTTTTGCTTTGAATCGTCTTGAATCGTCTCCATTATTAAAGAGAAAATGTGTGTTTTTTCTTAAGTATTCAATCATTTTTTTACTCTCAAATGACTTTAATTTTTAATTTTTTCACTGAATTAAATGTTGGAGTGTTAGTTTTCTCTTCTTCACTTTATCAAAGACTCAAATCCACCGTAACAATCAGTATCTCATTATTCACTTAACAAGTCTCTTATTCCACTATATAACAATAATTAAATAAAATATTTATTAACAATTTTGACCAACCTTATTATTTTAATTTATCCCGGAGGGGATTGTCTCTCATGACATAACCCTCCCGATAAATAATATATAATTTTATGGTGAAAATCCAATCGAGGGCGATCCATCCCCTACTTTCATCCTATTATATTTCAACAATTATGTTCCTCAAAATGAAAACCACAAGCGAAAAAAAAGCATAAAGTATTAGTTGTAGTAATTGTATATAAATTTTAAATTAGGCTCACCAAATTGAGAAAATGCCATGCAAAATGCATTACACATTGAGAACTCAAAGCGTTATTGTCGCATATTGATGCCCAAAAATAGGTTCCAAATATTAATCCTTAATATAGTCAAAGCACATGAAAAAATTAGATTGCAACATCTCTGGATGTCCATCAAAAAACATGTATAGTTACTGGTTTTGATTTGCTTGGCCACCGATAGGGGGCGGTAGATCAAAATCCAGTAAGCTTGCAATTTTGGTTCTTGAGATTTTCCCCAGTCTCCCTCTTGTTGGTTGGTTTTCTTTGGTTTGGTTTGATTCTTTCTCTTTCCAAACCAATCCAATCTCAGCCAAGATTTGTTCTTTTACTTTTCCTCCCATATATCTTCTCATCTTCATCTTTCATGCTTAATCTTTCTTTTCATTTGAAGTGGAAGGTGGTTTTATTGTAGTACTGCATAATGAACCAAGGAGGAGGAGGAGCAGGAGGAGGAGGGTCGGTAAAAATGTCTTCGACCGCTGTCAAAGGCCAGATGAAAGGCCTCCTTAAAGGACTAAGATACATTTCACAAATTTTCGGTAACTCTATGTTTCATCGAATACGTTTCAAAAACCTTATAGTATTGCAGGAAAATTTCCTTGAATAATAAAGGATAAGAGTTTTGCAGATGAGGATGAAGAAAAGGAGATACAAATTGGGTTTCCGACAGATGTAAAGCATTTGGCACATATTGGATGCGAAGATGGAAAGGCGAATCCACCTAGCTGGATGACGGAGTTCAAAGATACACAACAATCTTCCCCGAAAGCAAAGACATCTGAAGGCCTAGGTTTGATTATTTCTCGTTACCTCTGTAATTCAGATGTGTCTGATGCAAAGACGTGTTTGTGTCTGTTTTGTGTTTTATATTTTTGTAATGGTTAATTAATTATGCATGCATACAGATAGTGGTAATAATAGTGACACCAATAGTAGTGTAAAAGGAGACGGAAAGAAAAGCCACGTTCGAAAGTCAAGGCACCGTTCATCGGACAGCCAATCTTCGATAAACTCTCCTCCGCGAGAGGAAGGAGAATCCGTCAAGCCATCACGAAGACGACACAGCCGTCATTCAACAGAAGAAGAAGATGGCACCAAACCACCATCTACCAAACATACACATCGCAGAAAGACCAAAACGTCAGAGGATAAAGACAAAGAATCTTCTTCCACAAGAAAGCCTCGAAGGTCGTCCAAGGCTGGTTCCTTAACTGATGTCTCGTTCACGAATCTTGGGTCAGGATCTGTTTCTGGGCCTTTAGCCTAATAGTGTGCTGGCATTTATAATTCAGTTTTAGAGTGAGATTTCAGGAGCAGGATATATTCTTCTCTTGTTAATATTATTATTATTATTATCACATTATATTATCTTCATGCTTGGTGTTGTCACTTCAAAATACCACTACTTTTTTTCCATTTTCTTTTTTCTTCTTTTAATTTGGAAATGTTATTACTGTTTGTTATGGATCCTTATGGATTTTCATTGTTCATGTAAATTTAAATAACAATATTACATGTGAGAATCATATAATCAAAGGATAATAAATTTACAAAATATAATCTGGTTTGAATAGAAGCCTGCTTAATTAGCAGTAGATTAGTCTCATAATCAAACTAAATGGTCGAAGATGTGGATTCAGAGGGGTGCCAAAAGCCTTAATCAAGATGTGTTCCGAAATACATTCTACATGAAATATAGAACAAGTTCAGTACAAAAGCAAATAGTAGTATTTAATAGGCAAATTTTCCAGGAAGAAACATCCAAATACGATCATAATATTGTACAGTGTGTACAATTTTTCATGTTTCAATAGCTAATTTGCCACAACATTTTCCAGGTTCTCTTTGTTGGAGATTCTTAAAACAGAATCTTTTTTCTCACTTGATTTCACAGGAGAGTACATGTTTTCACAATTTTCATCACACCTCTTTTTTGCAGGAAGTTGTGTTCCATTAAGGGAGAGTTCCCTTTGGTTTCCACAAAGAGTGAAAATGTTGTGAATTCTCAACATTCTATTGGAACCATTGTTTTCCTTGTCAGCCACAGAATAATCCTCTTTCTTTGGACTCTTTCTAATACTGCATACCCTCTTTTCCTCTATCACTTCTTTCTCCACTTCCTCATCTTCTTCTACTTTATCCTCGCGATCTTGCGGCTCTCCCTCTCCTTCTCCTTCTCCTTCTTCTTCATATACTGTACTTAGACATGTTTTTTGACCAAAGTTTGGTGCAAATTCTTGTACAACATTCACAGTATTTGAACAGGGTTGAATTGGTGAAATGCCTTGCATGCCAACAATAACTTCCCGTGCAAGGAACGGCTCTTGATCATCCATGTCCAGATCCATTGATTTCACCATTGCAAGATCATCCTCACTTTTGTAAACACTGAGTAGTTTTCTCATAAACCCACTTGGCTCTATCTCTTTCGATCCGTTTTCATCTTTACGCTCTTGCTTAGAAGAACTCAGCTGCAACTCAATTTCTTCCAGTCTCTTTCTCAGAATTTCAACTTCCTCCTGCTGCTGCAATATCCTCTCTTCCATTCTCTTTCTCTCCAGCTCGACAAAATCATTAGTCATTCTTTGACACTCTTCCAACTTCTTTTCCAACTCTTGTCTCAGAAGGCGAGTTCGCTCATTTACCTTTAGGTTAATCTCCTCCTCACTTGCAGAAGCTGTTTCCACTTTAGCTCTTAACTCAGCAATTTCTTCTTCTTTCTTCATTAGCTTTTTGTGAGCTTCGTTTCTCTCTTTCTCTTTAAGCTTGTTTTCCATTTGTAGCTTCATAATAAACTCATCCATTGCAGCAATTCTTGATCCCAAGATGACGGTAGAAGAAGAGTCCTCCTCCTTAACCGGACTATGAGGACCGCGAACAATACATTTTGCTTTGGCTCCATATTCTAGTGTCGAGATTGTCTTGTGTATCTCCTTTGGATCAGGACTTGCACACAGTATCATTAGAATTTTCGACTTATCATCTTCAAATGAATCCTTAGAAAGGGAAAACAGAAAAAAATACACAGCATAAAAAAAACTAACTTGAAATAACACGTAACACAAACTGAGCAATCAACTCAACTAAAAAACAATAGTTAGTTATTTACCTGCAGAAGCATTGTAAGTTTACTGTCCCTAAAAGGCACGTGTGAATCGCCATTTGCAATAGACTCAACCACTCTCTTCAGTGCTATATTACCTTGATTAATTTTTGCAGTCTGTAAAATTATCGACAGTATAATATAATCAGTAGAGAACAAACATGCATGGTTAAAGAAAGAAAATAAGCATTAATGCAGAAAAATGGTAACCTGCATTTTCGCCTCAAATCCAGTTTGACCAGCTTGTTCAATATTTTCTGATCCTGCCATGTCCACAAGCATTAGCCGTCCTCCCAGTGTCGGAACATCAAGTATTACCTAATAGTCGAAAACAAGTCGTCAATTATCAATCAGGTAGCTTTGTAATTTAATCAGAACCTCCTTCTATCAAAGTAACTATACCATGCAGTGACTTCTAGAACTCCTGTCATTACAAAGTGTACTTTTAACAATCCTTCGCTTTTCCACTTTCTGAATTTCCTTTGAGATCTTCCCTGCTTCATTTCCAGATATGTAGGTTGCATTCTTAGCCTTTTTCCCCATCACTTCAAGTTTGACCTACAAGTCAAATTACAAAAGTAAGGAAAAGGCACTATCCAAATGTTCAGCACATACAATTCATTAAAAAGAACATGGTTCTGTTTACGCTTTAAACTAACATAAGATTTTATGGTGTACCAGAACATAAGTAAAACATGCAAACTTCATGAAGTGCTGAGTCAAATAATAATCCTGAAGCCAAATTCTATATAGTAAGTGAAAGTCACACTATTCAAATGTTCAGCATGTATACAACAGCCAATTAGTACAATAATGGTTCCCTTATCACTTCAAAACTAACATCTGATATTTAATATTGATTTGAATATTCACAAGTTCCCAGATAAGCTTTTTTCATCCAGAGCAAAATGAGCTAAACAAAGAGTAAACTTAACAAGCCAAATTTGTACCAATTATGAAAATAACTAAAACATACAAACTTAATAAGCATATAATAAAATTGAGCCAAATAACAATCCTAAAGCCAAATCCAAGATATGATCTGAAGAACCAAAGCCTAAAGAAATAACAGATCAAGTGATAAACCAACATATTATGTTACATGTACTCTATTACCTTGGAAGCATTGCTCTTAGACCAACCGAATCCAAATCCTCCACCACCTCCTCCATTGGTAGACAAGAGATCATAAATCTCCTCATTATAAATCTCCAAAACAGTAACCTGAACAAAAGTTCTCAACCCTATAGAGTCACGATCACTTCCATCTCCACCACTCTCAGAATCTGTCTCTCCATCTCCAAGAATATCCCTCAAAGCCTTATACACAATCCCAGCCTGCTTTGAACACCCAAACATAGTGTGACTCTTGCCAGAACCAGTAGGACCATACATCATAATCGTGCATTTGTCCCCCAACTTAACACCATTGATCCTCGATTCCACAAACTTCTTGTAGAACAAATCCAATTCCTCTTCCTCAGACACAGACACCCCATCAAGTGTAAAGTCCCTATACCCAAAATCTGCACGAACCCTAATCGATCTCGAGTTAGAACTCGCCTGAAGAACCGATAGAGGCTTGTCTTTCCGATCCGGGTAGTCACGGATTCTAGCAATAACTTCAATCGGGTGTTCAGGTGGGGATTCTTTGTTGGAAGCAAAATTGGGATTCGGAGATGGGTGTGGATGCGGTGATCTGAACCCATTAAAGTTGAGACGATGCTTTGAGTTTGGAGTTCTCAGTTGGGTGGAATGAATTGGCTTGGAAGAAGGTGTGGGTGCCATGAATTTAAGTCGACCCAGAAACGAAATTGACGAAAGATCGAACCTTTTGGATTGAATCTGCGATCCAGTATAGAGAAAGTGCAAGAAAAAGATGGAAATGAAGAAGATGATAGAGAAAGAGAAACTAGTGTATCACGCTGAAACGAGGGTTTTGAGGAATAACCAAAATGTAGCCGTTACAATCTGTAACGTCTATATTTTTTTATTCTAAAAGTGATGGAAAATAAATTGAAACTTCATGCAAATGCAAAGCGTATTAAACATTCTACGAAAAAATGCAACACTTTAACCCCAAGTTTCATTGATAAATTTGTATTTAATTTCGTGTAATTGCAAATTCTAATTTAAAATTAATTGAAGGAGACAAAGATGAATATACAATTAAAAAAAGACGTTTAAACCATACTTTTATTTCTTAAACTTTAATATTTTATATTTAATTAATATGTTTGTAAAAAAAATCTCAAGATAAATGACATATTTCAATTTTCAACCTAACATTAATTACTTTTAGAAATTGTTGACTGCAAGTTAAGAAATTAAATGTGAAAAATGTTGCTTTGTAAATTGTGTAGTGATATTTTTTAAAGATTGAAGTTTCTTCTTTCTTTCTTCAATTTTAAGTCATCTCAACTTTTATTGATATTGTTCTCTTCCGCTTTTTCCATGGACCCAGTTAATATTTCAGAGGCATGCTTTCAATCACAACACCAGCCATCAATGTTTGGTATCTATAAGCCACCGCCTTAACAAAAATCGTTTGCAATTGTTTTAAATAACTCCGATATTTTGTTAGGTCAATTACCAAAACTTAATGTAATTGATTGTCGAATAGGTATTACAATTTATGAGGATGAGCAACTTGTGGGATTAGAAACACGCAATCACAACTTGCATATGTCGCTACTCGAAAAACGCATCGCGCAACGACGGAGAGGCGAAAAGAAAGGACAGAAGAGTCGCCACCGAACTTTATTTATCCCATGAGGGGAAAGGAAAATATCGAGAAAACCTTAAGAAAGAAATGGATAAGATGGTCTCGCAACCATGAACGGGTTCGGAAGCCGGTTATGCGAAGGGAAGGTATTAGCACCCCTCGCATCCATCGTACTCGATGGGAACCTTTTGTTTGTCGATGTGTGATTATATCTGCTTAAATATTATGCTATAAGAAGGATGTTCCACTGGGTAAAAGAAGGGTTTGAAACAAGAAAGTTAGGAGGAAAGAGAGAACGGGGAAGAAAAGAGAAAGAACAGACTCGGTAGGACTTCGCAGTCCTATGCCTACGTATTCTCAATAGATATGAGAAAGTCAGAGTCGACGTAGTTCGGGGCTACGGATAAAGGGGGGAAAGTGCTCGGCAAGGATTGTGGCC